AGTTATTAGGATTGTTTGGCTTATATAAATTGACTTTGGAAAAACATGAAAATGTCTCAGTTCTAAATGTTTGAACCCATGGCTATTGACCAGACATTACAGAAGAATATTAAAAATCAATATGAAGAAGATTTTGATAATTTGTGATATTCACAATTGCGAGTGATCACTCCACCAGCAGAAGCTGTCAAGCAACCAAAAATGATAGATGCATATCTGTTCTGTGTATGTCAATGACTGGTAGAAGGTGAAGAATGTGAGGTTATTTGCATCAAGATGATGTAATGAGTAGAGGGAGTACTGACTGGAATGAAAAGATACTTTCAGTAGTCCAGCTGATAAGGAAGAAGAACAACAAATGGTCCCACCACAAATCTTCACAGCTATGGAAAGCTTCAAAATGTTTTGCTTTGAGTTGATTGGTAATGCTTCTCCTCCAGACTAAAAGATCCATCTGGTTTTAAACTGTGGATTGCCATTGAGTTGTTAAAGTTTCAGAACCTAACCATTGTTTTTTTTTTTTTAAATATACATTGTTATTGTAAAAAATACTGTACAGAGGGGTTACAGTTACATGAGTAAGGTAATGAGTACATTTCCTATGGAGCATGGTTACCCCTTCCTTTGTTTTTCCCCTACCATTCCTTCTTTCCCCACCTCCCCAACTCTTCCCCTCCCCCAAGTTGTAAAGTTCGTTTACAATGTAGTGTCTTGTACATCTCATTGTTACAATGGGTCAATCTGTATCCTTATTTCAGCTTTTTGTTATTTCCCTTCCCCTCCCCCAAATTAGAAAAATGTATATACAAGATGCAGGGCACCGGAATCAAATACAGTGAAAACAGGGGTTATACCATGGGGGAAGAACATAGAAAAGAAACAAAAAAAATTATATGGTACATTATAAATACATTAAAAACAACAGCAACAAAGATAAAACCTCCCTATCTTGGGGTTCCTTTCATTTACCATCTTTATTTCTAATTCCAATTTATTTTGAGGGGTAGATTTCAAAATATAGAGCCATGTTATAAATCGTGAATTGAAATAATATTATCCTATGCTTTATTTCATAGAAATTTTCCTTTCCTAATAATTTTAATGTATCTGAAGTAAAAGCACATGTTACAAAGGGTGATGTATTATATTTAGTAGCAATGGAAGGTAGATACTCTACTATTTGAGCCATGCCTCTAGCCCTTTTTGCTCTGGTAATTTTTTTTTGTCTGTCATGGGGCTTGAACTCTGGGCTCTTCAGCTCAAGGCAAGCACTCTACCCCTTGAGCCACAGCGCTACTTCCAGTTTTCTAGTGGTTTATTGAAGGTAAGAGTCTCACAGACTTTCCTGCCCGGGCTGGCTTTGAACCACGATCCTCAGAACTCAGCCTCCTGATTAGCTAGGTTTACAGGCATGAGCCACTGGCACCTGGCTGCTCTGGTAATTTTTTAAAATAAGGTCTTGCTTTTTACCTTGGCCAGCCTGCATCACAATGAATGAATACTATGTATTCTTCCCACATAAATGAAATGACAAGCATGTGCCCCCATTCCCATCTTTTTGTTGGTTGAAATAGGCACTCAAAATCTTTTGCTTGAGCTTGCCTACAGTTGCCTTACTCTTAATCTCAGCCTTCAGAGTAATTACTAATAAGTACAAGCATGAGTCACTTTGCCTAGCTATAATTCAAGGAATAATGTCCAAAGAAATATGATAAATTGAATCATAGCAGCTGCTAGTTTACATGATTCTATTATGGCAACACTAGCTGAGTCCAGATTGTATGTTACCTTGAGTAGTATCTTAATTTCTGAGGCTTAGTTTTCTCATCTGTAAAATGAGATGATGATGATGATGGTGATCGTGGTGGTGGTGTTAATAATATTAATATCTTCTTCCTAATTTACTTGTAGAAAATTGAATGAGATTTGGATACTTAAACCACAAACTCCTTCAATTTGCATAACCAGAAAGAGTTAATGCTCTTCTCAAATTGCCAAAAATTTCCAGTAAAAAAAATTACTGAAAACCTCGGAAGATCTAACATTATTTTATTTTATTATGCAAATAATTTTGACCTCCAAAGATTATTTATTTTGCTTCAGAAGGCTCATTTCTTCTGTACTGCTAACCAGTTTACTCCATTTTGTGCCACAATTTGTAATGAACATTAAAAGAACTACTGATTATATTAGTGTTTTTGGTTCAATTACCTGTTTCAACTGCTCAATGACTAAGGAAAGCATGTCATTTTCTCCTCTCCTGCACACTGGAGTGTAACAATAGACTGTGAATAGAGCAAATCAAAGAGACACAAATACCAGTGTAAGGGGCCCATTGTATTTAGTTTGTTGCCCTGTCATATGGTTTTAATTTAGGTCGTCTGATTGATGATGACAGACTGACAGATAGCACATTGTTCCCTACTTGGAATCTCTAGACACTTTAATATTCCTATTCTTGTCTGTCCATTTTGATTTCAAAACTTAAATGAAATGGAATTATAGCATTCACTTTGTTTTCCTGTGCAGAGTGATTATCTCTGAAGTGCAATTTTGTGATTAGGTGAGACTGCATGCATGTACTCAGCCAATGCGGAGGCCCCCAGGGTGCAGAGTAGGTAAATTCATAATGAATAGATGTTGTGCTTTGATTTCAAATGCATGTAAAACCTTACCAATCTTGGTAGTTTTCTTTTAAAAATCTCTTTAATTATTCTAAAATTAACGGGAGAATATTAAAATTGAACTTTAGAAATATGGCATTTAAACAGAAGTCAAGAATGCTGACTGCTTTGGAATGTTAATCCCTTTCCAAAGCTGAAGTAAAAACAAATTTACATGACATAAATTAGGGGGGGAGTGTCATTAAAAACCTGTAGTTTAATTATTTATATTCTTCTTGATTAATTCAAAAATGTTTGATTGCAGCAGTATTTGTATTGTCAAATTTTAGTCTTCCTTAGTTTGAAAACTACAATAATTATTCAACTAATTACTGTCATAGTATTGTCATAGTTGTTTGGGCCTGAGGAATGACTCGAGGATGATGGGAGAGGTTAAGGGTTAATGGGCACAAAGTGGCCATTCTCTCTAATATTTTAAGAGCAATTTTTGTTCCTGTGTTTGAGAACTTGATTTTTAAAAGAATTTAACATTCTACAAATTTAGACACATTTTGACCAAATCACCAAAGAACATGTTTGGTACACAAATCACACCTTTTTTTTTTTCTGATTTGTTCAAAAGCATTGTCCATAATCTTTTAATCTACATGTGTGGAATTAAATATGCCATTTCCCAAGCTCATTTCTATCAAGGAGGAAGAGAAAGGATAGCAAGGCATTTCCCATCAAATTCTCTGGGAATGAAATCGGATGAAGTTTATAGAGCTCTGTTTGTAACATGATTGTGTTTAAGTGTTAAGGGACTGGAGAAGACCTACTTAGCCAAACCTTCTTTTTGTATGTATTTGAAGACAAAGTTTACAGTGATTACACTAGATATCTTTTGGATAACGGCCAAGATTCTTTCCTATTCAGATGACTGACAATAAGTGTCTTCTGCTCTAATGTGAGCCTCAGCTTTAGGCACCCCTATGTACAGAGCCTGGGAGTTTGCACCACTGTTCATTAGAACTTTGAGAGAAGACTTATGCCTTGTTTGTTTATCGTTTTGGGCATTTGGGACATTTTGTTTTGTGCCTATAGTAGGGCTTGAACTCAGGGCTTCACTTTCTCATTTGGCTTTTTTCTCTTAGGCTGCAAGTTCTACCACTTGGACCACACCTCTAGTTCCAGCTATCTGCTAGTTAACTTGAGATAAGATTCTTTCAGACTTATCTGCTGTAACTGGGATCCTGCTTGAGGGGTGCCTTTCAGTCATTCATATCTATCTATCTATCTATCTATCTATCTATCTATCTATCTATCTATCTATCTATCTATCTATATCTTGATTTGATCAACCACAGCAAAAGTAAAAACCATTTTTATAATGTAATAAAATATCATTTGGAAAAATAAAACTGGAACAATATGTTTCCATAGTCTTTCAGAGCACCTTAGAATATCAGCAGTAATAAGAAATAAAATGTCGGAGAGCAAGGGGAATAACAAAATGCTGAAATAAGATACAGGATGACCCATTGTGATACTCACAAATTTCTATGTTGGAAATGAACTTTACAACTTCAGGGGGACGGGGAGGAGTGAGAGAGGTGGGGGATAGAAGGGATAGTAGGAGAAAAAAAAGGAGGGGGTAACAATGCTTGACAAGAAATATAATTATCTTACTCATATAACTTTAACCCCTCTGTACCGCATCTTTACAATAAAATAAAAAAAGAAATAAAATGTGCATCTAGTATGAATGTAGTTTATAGAAGTATATTTCTCAGTTTATCAATGTGTATATTAAATCCTTCTTTTTGGTGAATTGGTGATGAAGATGCCATGTTATTGCTAAGGCATGGGTTTAGTGTTTGTTTTTATTGCTCAAGACTTCTATCTCCCCTAAAACATGCTGCTGTGATGGAAGCAATTTTATCTTGCCCTTTTAATGACTCTCTTTGTGATTGTGCTCAGATATGTTACTTTCAGATCTGTCCAAATTCAATTCATCAACTTTTTTGTTTTATTAATAGTTTTGAATATCTTGCTGATCTATTTATGAAAGAAAAAAAGACAAAGTATTTTCAACTACTATCAAGTATTTGTCAACTACATTGTGTCATCCCTTTATTCATGCTTTTTTCTAGCATTTTCACTATTTCGAGGTGGTCTAACATATCAACAGACAGCAAGGGCAGAGTGATGCTCAGCCACCATTGAAACTGGGGTGGGAAGCATACAAATTAATGACTGAAAGACCAGATCATGTTGCCTCTTTTCTTCCCCAGATGTACCAAGAGTACATATTCCCAGACTAATTATCTTGTTCTCTTCCTATTTACAGAATAGCAAATCCATCCAATCTCTTTTTGAACATTATTGTTTCTACAGCTTCTGCCACCTTTGAAGACTTCCAGATTCGTCCACATGCTCTCTTTGTTCATTCATATCGAGCTCCAGCATTCTGTGATCATTGTGGAGAAATGCTGTGGGGGCTGGTGCGTCAGGGCCTTAAATGTGAAGGTAAGTTTCTTCCCCTGCAAGTTGAATACAACCCAGAGCTATCTGCTTATGTTATACCTTTCTGGCAGTGTTCTCAGTACCTCAGAAGTATCATCTGGGCAGTTTTTAGTGGAGTGCATGAATTTATATTGAAGTATTTTGTCTACTTTAAAATTTCCTGTTTAACATTCTTGGCCTGATCTTAGAACCCTGGCTCTCACATCTTTTCTCTAGCTCAGGTGGAAAAATTTCCTCCCTACATTATATGGGATATGCTAGCAACAAAATGAAAATAAAGTTGCATCTTGAGTAAGCCAGATATTAAAATAGTAGACATCAAAATGAGGAGACATTTAGGTTAATCAAACCATCTGAGATCCCTCAGCTATTGAGTAGATTGCGATTCATTCTTGAATTTCTAACCTTAATTCTATGGTTTTATATATTCTATGTATACCCTTTTTCTTTAATGTTTGAGATTGAACCTAGGGCTTCACAGTTGCTAGACATGCATTCTGTCTCTTGAACCATGCCTGTAGCCTTAGTGCTTTTAGTTGGCGTTTCAGATACAGTCTCACATTGCTTTTGTTCATTCTGTCATAGAATCATAATCCTCCTACCTCTTCATCCCAAGTAGATGAGATTACAGGTGTGAGCCACACAAAGAATTCACTGAACTGCACCAGACAGATTTGAGAACACTATGTGGTAGTTTTAAGACCTTATTTAATGACCTTATTTAATGACAGGTTTGAGGAGGATAAAACTCTTTGTAGTATGGCCAGTATGACTAAAGTTTTATGCAACCTATGCAACCTATAAATAAGCTCATCATACATCCTTAATTTCTTTTTATAATAAGTTTTTATTGTGAAAATACCGTACAGAGGGGTTACAATTACATGAGCAAGGTAATGAGTACATTTCTTATCAAACATTGTTGCCTCCTCCTTTGTTTTTCCTCTATCATCCCTGTCCTCCCATCTCTACCACTAGACTCCGGGCCCTACCCCCCCACCCACCCTCCCGGGGTATTCAAAGGCAAGTTAAGTTCTAGAGGAGTGTGTATTAGTCATATTTCCAGCATGGGGACAAAAATACTGGAAAACCAACTTAAAATAGAATGATTTATTTTGGTTCACAATTTGAGTTTTTAGACCATGGTCACCTGGCTGCATTATTTTCGTGCCTTTAGTGAGGTAAAACATTATGATAGGACATGAGGACACTGTAAAACAAAATTCTCAGCTTATAGCAGCCAGGAAGGAGCAAGAAACAGAGAGAGGTGAGGAGACAGGTGGGGGAAAAGGAGGAGGAAGAGAAGGGAGGGAGGGAAGGGAGGAAGGAGAGAAGGAAGGCTAGAAGGAAGAGAGGAAGGAATGAAGGAAGAAAGGAGATAGGGAAGGAAGGAAGGGGGAAGGAAGGAAGGGGGAAGGAAGGAAAGAAAGAATTAAAAGAAGCCAGAGACAAACAAAATACATCTTTCAAAGGCCCACTTCAGTTAGTTATTTTTCTTCAATTCTTCAACTAAAACTTCCACCTCCATTCATCTCTCCAACTAGCTAGGAGCTAAGAGTTACTGTTGTTGTTGTTTTTTTTCAAAATAAAAAAAATGAATTTACATATTTCTAGCATACAATAGTACATGATAAAAATTCCCATTTCAAAGCAAGGAATAAGATAGCAAAGTAAGACTAAAAGTCAACAAGACAATTACTAAATCCTTAAAGATCTTGTCTTCCATCTAGGGTACCCTGTATCTTGATGTGTGCTCCAAAAAAGCAGGAGCAACCCTGCTGCTATGCTATTTGTCAATATTGTCTCTTTTTACTACCCACAGCTTTTCTGACCATATATTCCAGGTTCCTATCATCTCCATCTTTCTGGGCTATCCACTGGGACTGCCTTCAGAGACTTTAGTTTCTATTTCACACTATCTGGCATTTTAGGCCTTCTTTTGAAATCTCAGTGGAAGCTCTCCTCATGCTGCAATTCTTACAAATGTGAGGGATACCCAGATCTACCATGGGCAGTCATACTCAGTTCCCATTGGCCACGTTTATAGGAACCTCTGAGTTCCTTGATGTCTGAGTTTGTAACACAGGCTTTATGAATATGTACCTGGCTTGTTTTGTAGCAAGTAACAAAATTCTAGCATGGGATTGTGAATTACAGACATACTAAAATGAAACTGCTATTTCCTCCAAGGAAATATTGACTTCTTAACTATGTAGAAATCACTATGTAAAGTATTTTACATATTTTCTTAATAATTATCAACTAGTTACTTTTTGAGGCAGTAGGATTGAACTCAGGGCCTTATACTTTCAAGTCAAGTGCCACATTCCAACCCAAAAGTACATACTTCAGTCTTCAGCTCACAGACAGGGGAACTGAGGTGAAATAATTTGTTTGGGGTCATGTATACATGTAAATTGTGGGGCCAAGATTCAGTTCCAGAGTTATGGACAACTGTAATTAATTCAGCCTCCATGTCAACATTCATTTGAACTTGTGCATATGGCTTAATGTACTTTGAATTTTATTTCTAAGTATTTCAAAGCCCAACTTCATTATATGTCAGAACATTTTAAAAAATGATAAAAGAGTTGCTAAGCTTGTCCAACAAAAATCAGAACATATATCTATATCTATCTCTCTGTCTGTCTGTCTGTCTGTCTGTCTATCTACCTACCTATCCCCTTTAAAGATAAGGAGAAAAAAATCAGAAAACACAAAAGAAAATCTGAATTTCCAAACAGCCTCATAAAGAGCAAAATGGAAGGAGGACCATTTTAATTCTCAGTTTATAACTAATAGTGGAATAGCTTTTAATTTATTGCTAAATAAAAGCTATTTTTATTTTTGCTTTCCAGGATGCGGTCTAAATTACCATAAGAGATGTGCATTTAAAATCCCTAACAATTGCAGTGGTGTGAGGCGGAGGAGGCTCTCAAATGTTTCCCTCACTGGGCTCAGCACCACCCGCACATCATCTACTGAGCTGTCTACCAGTGCCCCTGATGAGCCCCTGCTGGTATGGCCTCCTGTTTATCCATTGCCTGTTTGCTTGAGAAATCTGTGGAACGTGATAGCAGTGTCAGTTCAAGAAAGAGTGATGGGAGGGAGGCCACAGCCAGTGTGGTCAGGATCGTGTTTCTTCAGGGCATCTGCTGTGAATTGGTCAGTGCTGCTTCTAATGTTCAACAGCTTTGAGTTTGCTATAGTGAAATCATAAAGTGTGTGAGATATTATCCTGGTCATAGGGCCAGAGCAGCACAACTAATGTGTTAATGTTGCAAAGCATAGTTTTATTACCGTTTTCGGAACCAAAAATTTAAGTTATTATTATTCCTTGGCAGATTATTCAGGTCACTTGTAGCTCATAGGTACTTGGGATGAAATTTGAAATTCACTGTTAAAAAATTATGATAGTCATTTATTGTTTGGTATTGGGGGATATGTGCAATATCATCCTACACCAATATATTTCATGAAAAAACATATTTAGTGTTTTCATTATCTCTAAATTATTTTATAGTTATGATTTAAATTGTCACCAAGAAAGTTAATATTGATTTTTGAAGCTTTCAGAAAAAGAAAAATGGTGATACATTGTGATACATGGTGATTCTATACATTATTTAATATAAAAACAAAATTATGAAGTGGTTAAGTAGCATTTTAAATGTCCCATAGGTTTCCCCCATCCTTCAAGGTATATTACAGCAACTACTTACAATCTAGCTATTGTAAAAATCAGTGAGAAGCCAGGTGCCAGTGGTTCATGTCTATAATCCTAGCTACTCAGGAGGCTGAGGATATAAGGGTTACATTTCAAAGCCAGCTCAGACAGGGAAGTCTATGAGACTCACTCCAATTAATCACACCCAAAATTTTAAAAATCCAGAAATGGAACTCTGGCTCAAGCAGTACAAAACTCATTGTCAACAATAAAGGTCAGGGACAATTAGTAGGCCCTGAGTTGAAGCGCCAGGATTGGCACACATACACACATACACACAAGAAAAAAAATCAGTGGAAGATAGAGATTTAAGAGTTACTAAAATGCCTAGATTAAATAATTCCCTTTGAACTAGGGTGGAGTAATACATTTGGAAAATACCTATAAGAAATTCTGTTATTTGCATTATTGTTTGGAAAATATTTCATTGTGATCTTTAACTTGAATACAGAATAAGCTGGGCACATAACAAATGACTGCTCATTTTTATGCATAGAAAAATATACTCTTGTTTTAATGTGGTTTGGTTTGTTTCTTGGTGAGTTCATGTAGGAAATCCACTCAGGTTCTAACCAGGCATAATGGAGAAGAAGAACAGTGAAAAGGTTTCCTTTCTAATACCAGGTCTCTCATGTTTTTTTTCACAGAGACTTCTGTGAAAAGATGGCTACTTAATCCCACTAAAACTTTTCCAGGTTATAGCAGTTATTAAAGTATAGTCATTGAGAAACATTTTTGTAATATATACATTACAAATATTTTAAAGTACAATTATAAATTATGTTTTGTTTTACTAAGCAAAAGCTATTTAAAAATATTTTACATATTACAAAAAACCTAAAGCTTAATTAAGCTAGTCATTCACTTGAATAGATTAGGATCTTAATAATTAATGTGAAGCTATCTTGCTACTCTACCTTAGTAATGTATGTAACAATATGGTTATATATGCAAACATACATGTATTACACACACATTTGGGATGTAAATATATAGTTCTAAACATAACAGGCCTATGCATATTTTTGTTTTATAAATATAAATTAACTTATTTAATCAAATGCTCATGCATATAAATATAATTTATAAATATTCTTTGGGTTATATAACTTATACTTTTGTGTTTTTAAAGTAATTGATTAATTTGATGAAATGAAATAATTATTTGAATTACTTGATTACATAGTTTGTTTTATATCAAATATTTATATTAATTACTTTTTCTCTGATGGATGGAATTTATAGTAGAATGTTAAAATATATGTTAGAATATGAGTTTTTGACCTTTCTTTATGAAGAATGCTGAGAAAATAGTGATCCAATGAGATATTGATGGTGTAAGAAAATATTAGGACCATGAGATTCTTTAAAAATACTGGTTTCAGAGATGAGCATGGTTGCTTATGCATGTAATCCTATCTACTCAGGAGACTAGGATCATGATTCAAAGCCAGCCTGGGCAAGAAAGTTCATGAGACTCTTATTTCAAATTAATTATCAAAAAGCCAGAAATGGAGCTGTGGCTTGAGTAGTAGAGTATTAGTCTTGAGCAAAATAATTCAGTGACAGTGCTCAGGCCCTGAGTTCAAGTCCCAGGACTAGCATGTGCACATGCATGCCTGCGCGTGTGTGCACGTGTGCTCACACACACACACACACACACACACACACACAATTACTGGTTTTAAACTTTTATAGCCCTGCTTCAAATGTTCCTCAGGAAATGCTCTTGGAATTATGTTTGTGGTAGTTGACATATTGAACCTTAACATCATGCCTCCAGAATATCCATTTTGTAAGGCTGTAATAAGAACATAAATTTTTCTCAAATTTAGGAAAATGAATTTTTCTGATATAATTTCCTATGCTGATTTACATAGTATCTTTCACATATAGATTAAGATAGAATTATTCTATTTATTGATTCAATTTTGGAACATAAATTGAATCTTATATTTCTACAATGCTGCTAACATAGAAACAATCAAAAGATTTATTTTTTTTTAAGATTTATGATATACAAGCTTTATCTCTCATCAGCTTCATCTATTATCAGCTTTGGCAATAAACCATACATTTTACTAACCATACAGTAGTCCCTCTTATAAGAAAATCCTAATTTTTTTAAGGTATTATGCAACAGATCTACAGGACTGTATTTCTTTTCATAAACCTTCACTAATATTAGGGAGAAACAGAAGAAAAACTCAGGAGATCATGCAGTAGCACACATTACTATGCTATATCCTTATATCTAAGTTGATTAATCAAAATTATATCAACCTTACAAATTTTAGGACACCTGTGGAAAAAAGAAGCCAAGATTAAAAGATGGTATCCTTTCCCCATCCTTATTTATGTACACTTTTTTATTAACATGTATTCTTATATTTTGATGGAGTCAAAGTCAATATATACCAAAGGGCATGAGACTTTATCATAGCTAAAAAAGTGTTTCATGGGCTGGGTTGTAGCTCAGTGGTAAAGTGCTTGCCTAGAAAGTGCAACATTCTGGGTTCAATTCCCAGTACCAAAAAAGAAAAGACAAAAAAAAAAATTCACAATCTCCTAAAATATGTGTCCTTAGAGATAAATAAGCTTATTTCACATCAATTGTCCCCTGAAGGATGGTTTTAAAGTCTTAATGAAATATGAGAGAACCAAACAGAACTGAATTTGACAGCAACAAAGGAAATCAGGATTGGAAACACCAATCACACAGAGTTCAATGTGCAATTTGGCTGCCCACAACACAGTATCCAGCTCCAAATGCCAAATGTGTTAAGACTGAAATTGCCTGATACAGAGCAAAACTGGAAATTTGCCATACAAAGTCATAGTTAGGGCAGAATAATATTATTCCACATTTACATATAAAGTGTTAAAGCAATATGGTATTAGACTAGGACAGAAAAAAACAGTAAAATAAAACTGCATATATAGAGAGCAAATGATTTATAACTGGGATAAAAGTGTTTAGAAAAAGGTAATCTTTTTAACAAATATTTCTAGAACCAAGTAAGTATCTCTATGGAAAATATGAATCTTGAATCTTTTTGTGTCATACACAAAATCAATTCTAGGTAGATGGGAAATTTCTAGGAAATGGCAGAAGAATAAATATAAATGCATTAGCTAGGAAAAGTCTTCCTTAACCAGACATAACTCATCTGACAAAGAAAAAAGATCAATTTATTGAGCTTCATTAGAATTAAGAATGTATTTTATCAAATAAGCACCACCATGTGCCAGTGGCTCATGCCTGAAATCCTACCTATTCAGGATGGTGAGATCTGAAGATCTCCATTCAAAGCCAGCCCAGGCAGAAACATTTGTGAGACTCTTATCTCTAATTAATCACAAAAAACATACAGAATTGGTGCTGTGGCTCAAGCGGTAGAGTGCTAGCTTTGAGCAAAAGAGCTCAGAGATAGCACCAAAGCCACGAGTTCAAGCTCCAGGACCTAAAAAACAAAAACAACATCAACAAAACCAGGCAAATTACAGAGTGGATTGTAAAAGATAAACTTTCTATTCATAAAAAAATTATTTCCAGAGAACATTTACAAAAATGCTGGAAGAACTCCAGCCCCTTTTAAAACATAGCAAAATAAACAATACTTAACTGGAGAAGATAGCTAATAAATATGGAAATATGATTAAACATGGCTAATGCCATTACTTATTGAAGAGTATGATGTCTTCCGTGAGATCCATCTATAGCAGCATGTCTAACTTTGAAAGAAAACATAACAAGTACTTTCTACCTGGAATTTACACACATTTCTTCTCAGGGTGGAAACAATTCCTCCTTATCACATTTTGGAAAATGCAGTTTTCTTCTGGGGGAATATATTTACCATGTGACTCAGTAGTTCTTGTGAATGTCATGTTCCTCAGGAGAAGTAGGTGAGAAGATCACTCCAGCCAGGAGGGCTGTGACCCACCTGAGCAATATAGCGAGATTCTATCTCAGATACCCACGAGCATATACTTATAAATTTAGTGGCTGAAGGTCAGCTCAAACTATACCAATTTATGTTGAAACATATCCGAATGACAGTTCCTCTTAGTGAAATACCAAGTGTGAGGGAGTGGAAATGAGCAGATAGAAGGCTGGGAATATTTTATTCAACATGCAGAATATCTGTATGCTTTGCACTTAGAACCTTATAAATTTTATTAATATATAATAAACTATACCTTAGTAAGAACTTTTTTGGATAATAAAAGCATAACTATCCATAACATACTGTAATATTATTGGACCATTTTCTCACAGGTTGTGTGAG